AAAAAAAAAAAAAAAAAAAAAAGGAATTAAAAGCCTGACGAGTACGAAGGTGTGCCTACCTGGTGGCTGAATGCTATAGACATGCCATCGTTCACAAAAAAACAAATCACGCCTTCAACTCCCTGGTACATACGATGACATTAGGGGTTTTGGACCCCTCCTAAACAAAAAACCATGCATACTATTTATGCAAAAAATGCCTTATGGGTCTTCTGGCTTGATGGCGATGCACAGCCTTAGCCCAATGAGCCTATACCTCAGGTGAACCATGTCTTCTTATGTGTTCCACCATAATGATTGAGCAGGTGCTCATGGCTGACGGCAGCTGAAACTGAGTTGTATTGAGCTCATTGACGCTAGCAGCTGCCTGTCTATTCTTTTTTTTTTTTTTCTTTTTTCTTTTTTTTCTGGCTGTCTATTCTGAATAAGTCTATATGCTATGCCACCCTTTTCCTTCCGCCTACCACCTGTGTCAGACTCAGACAAGGGAGGCTAGCAGGTGTCAATTCTTTTTTTCCGAACTTTATTTGATTCGACGCCAGTCTGTTGGGATCGTAGCCTCTGTCATCAGTGGTGTCTATGGTCCAATCATCCATCACCTCACCTCGGTCATGAGCTAGATCTCTCTGTTGTTGTTATAGGGTTGTAACCGGCCCTTAGCTTCTGTCATTAGTATGCACTACAGTAGGCCACCAACCGTCTTGATTGGCAGGGTAGTGCTACTAGCTTTCTGTTCTTTTTTTTCCCTTTTCTTCCTTCCTTCCGTTTTTGTTTTTGAATATGGCCCTTGAGATATCATCTTCGAGCTGCCCGACCCCAGGTAAATTCAGAATTATGTATTTTGATTCTGTTCATCTGATTGCATCAGGATTTAAACTCGGGTCTGTATTTCAACAGTTCATTGGGTGTACCAACTGAGATAGGCCTGTAGTGCGTCCGATCCCCCATCCGAACTCGGAAGCCAAGCGCCGTTAGGCCGGAAATGGTGCGGTCATACCACGGCTCATGTGCCTGATCCCATCAGGGCTACTAGCTTCTTCCCCCGAATACAAAGTATGGTCATTATAGATGTATCTCGACTGAAAGACGCCTCAAATACAGCTATAATGACCGTACGTTGTATTCGGGGGAAGAAGGTAGCTTTCTGTTTTCCTGTTATAGTCAGTGTGTTGAGATGGCCTCCCCTGACTAATCGGCTGAGTAAGGCTATGTTCAGTCCAGGTAGCAGAGAGAGTGTGTGTGTTGAGATAAACAGAGCCCCGCAAACGCGACAAGCAGTGTAACAGGGTGTGCATTCACGATTGCCAAAGAAGCGAGGTTGTATCACCTTTGCACAGAACAATCCATACACAGGGTGGCATCAACGCATTCGTATATGGAGACACACAAGGCGGGAGAGAAAAAGAGCATCGAAAATTCCATGAAGCAATCACGTATCATAAGGGTGGCCAATAGGCATTACTCACTCACGAAAAACAGAGGCAGTACTCAAGGCTGGATGCACACTGAGGAGACATACGAGGCACATAGATGACAAGCAACAACAAAACACAGGCTGGTGGACATGGGGGAGGCGGGCGGGCACAAAAACACGATAAGACGAGGCAAAGACAGTGAGCTGAGAAACAACTAGCACCGACGGAAACAGGCAAACTGAAAAAAATACAAGTCCCAAGAAAGTCAAAGGACCGAAAAAAATAGAAACTGATGACAACAAGATTGTTTCGTCGGAATTGCACCGACTCATTAGGAGGCTGAACCCTCGACAATCTGCTGAATCCCCATATTTGATGGTTTGGGTCATGAACCCTTTGACCCATGTTGAAGGCAGACTGTCCCCAAGCGGGACATAGCAGCGGGCAGCAGCCCTGTGGAGCACCAGGCAACACAATAGAGGCAGCTCAACTGCTTATCACCAAAAACGACTGCAAGGAATGACAGGGCAAGTGGACGAGCAGCTCGGCAACCGTGCGGTGCAGCGCAAGGCAACATCAGCAAGGCGACCAGACTACAAGGCACGCAAGCAAGTAAGGGACGCGGAAGGCCAGCAGGGCAAGCAGACGAGCAGCTCGGCAACCGTGCAGTGAAGCACAAGGCACCACCAACATGGCAACCAAACTACAAGGCATGCACGCAAAGGACACTGAAGGCCGACAGGGCACATGGACAAGCAGCTCAGCAAACGTGCAGCGAGGCATGAGGCACCACCACAAGGCTACCAAACCACAAGGCACGCGAGCAAAAGACACGGGAGGCACGACCCGCAGGTAAGCGGCAAGGCAGCAGAGCAGCAAGGAGGACCTGCAAAGCAAGCGGCACGGGCAGCAAGACCGCGGCAGAGCGCAAACAAAACAGTCTACACATCCAACATGGAGCAAAGCAGCACATGACCTACTCACATCACGATAGAACCCCGCAGACTGTTGGTTCCCACCACCCGCTGAGCCAGCGGGACACTCCGACGACCCGAACCGAGCGGCCCCCTTAAGAGTGCAGCTGGCACTCCAAAGGAGGAACCACCGACTGTTTGGCACTACTTAAGGGTGCTCAGTTGGGCGCACAGAAAAATACTTGGAAAAACAAACGAATGGAGGACAGACAATAGGAGAAAGACTGACATACATAAACTGATTGAGTGTGTGTGTGTGTGTGTGTGTGTGTGTGTGTGTGTGTGTNGAGAGAGAGAGAGAGAGAGAGAGAGAGAGAGAGAGAGAGAGAGAGAGAGAGAGAGAGAGAGAGAGAGAGAGATGCTTGGTTGTTGCTGATGTTGACGGCAGCCATAGGCGCTGCAGGTCGAGCGACCTAGTGTGTAGAGTTTCAAGATTTCAGATCATATTCAAGTGTGCGTGCTCATATCGTGTGAATGTCGCCATTCACGCGTGAAGCGTCCTAGTTGAGGGGCGCATGCAGAGTTGAGGATAGCGGGTGTGGCCTCTTGAATCAAAGCATCCACATCGGATGACTTGATCTGTTGTTGCCTGTTTGTGAGGCAACTCACCAATTCCGAGCCAAAAGCAAAAGCCAATTCTATATGTCTCTCTCTATCTCTCTCTCTCTCCCACAACATCCGTGCTCCTCATACCGAGCGGAGAGTGACTCCATGACGGGGGCAGGGCTCGTAACAGCTGCAGTACCACGCTGAGCTCTGCACACAGCTGTTAGTACTGTGCATTGCAGCAGGCTGAGTGTGACTGTGGAGTCGTGCGTGGACTTGATTTGAGAGTAAATCATGTACTTGGAAATTGGATTATTAATTTATTAATTTATTACCGTTCCGACGACTTACTGTTTTTTTTTAAGAGTAAATCATGGATTGGAAATTGGGTTATTAACTTATTTACTTACTAATTTATTATCGTCCGATGTTGCTCTGATGTTGCCCCATGGGTTCGATGTAAAATGGGTTGACATCAACTTGGCAGACACTGGATATACATGACATGTCAAATTTGCGACTTTCTGCAACTCCTTTCCTTTTTTTTTCTTTTTTTTTTGAAACAACTCCGCCCCTTCTGTTCTGCGGGGCATCAGTCCGGTTGCTTATCACCGGCAAGCATGAGTTCCAATGTACAAATTATTTGTAGGAAAAAAGAGGAAAGCTTTACTTACCCTTGTGGCCCTAGACGCCTAACACGGGGGGGATTGCTACAACCGATCCCTCTTCCCATCATACCATAGCCTCCCCAGGGATACCTCTGTTGGTCGGGAGGCTTCCTAGCAGCACCCAGCCACACAACAGAAGGGTTGCCAGGGAAGGCCTGACCCGGGGGGGGGGGCGTTCTAGCAGTCTCACTCATGGGCCTCACATCCTGTCCGTCCCACCTCTGTTCAACGATCTTTTTTGTACCTACTAACACTCATTTAGTCTAGATCCTTCCTGCTCCCGGCTTCCTATCGAGTCCTTAAATCTCGTCTAATTTTTACACCAATCTCCTTTATTCATCCTATCAGTCACACCCTCTGTTCAAATCCTCTTTTTTTTTTTTTTTAATAACTTCTACACTCTTTTAGTCTGGTTACTTCCGTATACCCGGCTGCCTATTTTTTGTATGCTTAAGTCTCCTCTATTTCTTACTCTTGTCTCCTTTGTCTTTGCTATCACCTCTCTGAGGCTCTCTCCTCTTGCCCTTCCCCCACTTCTAATCCAGGCTTTTCAAACCTCACATTTCACCCTCATTTTATTTACACCGCCCTCTGGTTTTAAAGCCAGTCTTAAACCAGTAGCCCTCCCTTATTTTAAGGTTTAAGTCTTGTCTCCAGCAGTATGTTCATCAATCCAGGCTAAACCCGTATCCTTCACCCTTTCTTTTCCTTTTCCCCCCATTTTTGGCTCCCCCTCCTCGGAGTCTTTGGGCCTCGCTCCACTACTGTCGAAATGTGCAACATGAGAATGAATCTTCCCCTAAAACATGGAAAGATACAGTGCTGTACTTTTTGTCGTTTGTGCATGTGGACAGTAGTGGAGCCAGGACCTTTCTCTTCATCGAGGGAAAAGAGAGGACGTGTCACCAATACTTTTTTTTTTTTTTTTTTTTTTTTCCCCATCCACAAAGACTAATTTGCTAACTTTCGGAGTCTTTGCGCCTCGCTCCACTACTGTCCAAATGTGCAACATGAGAATGAATCTTCCCCTAAAACATGGAAAGATACAGTGCTAAACTTTTTGTCGTGTGCGCACGTGGACAACAGGGAAGCCAGGACCTTTCTCTTCATTGAGGGAAAAGAGAGGACGTGTCATGGACAGTGGCCTTTTGTCATATACGGCTCCCGCTCCATGTGCAGCTCAGGGCAAATCACATATTCTGACATATGTTTGCGCGCGTCATGCACAACTATAGCATCCAAAATGTGAAAGCTCCACAAACATCAGCTATCGC